TTGGAGCCCTTCTTGGGCACGGGCGCCGACTTGGCTGGCTCGGGCATCCTCTGCGCTTGCAGCCTCTCTCAAGCACGACAGAAAAAGCACGAGTAGCGGAAGGTTCCCCTTGGCGAGTATTTATAGGCCACGTATGCAAATGAAGGCTTTCACGGTTCTGCGTTGCTATTGGATGGGATGGAACCTCCCGCCCACGATTGGATGACTAGCCGGAAAAAAAAGAAGCATTTCAAATCTCGCATTCCCATTGGGCCATTGCACAAACCTGCATTTCTTATTGGTCCATTTGAGAATAGCCTTTTCGGATTGGCTACATGAAGAAAAAGAATATTCTTGGCGGAATTGTTCTCTTGCTTTTCAGCCGTCCCGGGCACTTCCAAGATCTCCGTTTCGCTGCAATATTTCCGGTATTTTTTACCCTGTTTTGTTAAATACGTGCAATACGGTGAATTGACAATGTGCCGCAATATTTGGCTAATCTGAGAACTAGTTAGTGATACAACACGCATTTTATCCTTCCCCTACACAAGCTAGGGAGAAGCCGTTCTGAAAAAAACAGACAACTTCTCAAACAGCGTTAGAAAAGTTATTTATTCCGGGCCGAAATAGCTCAGTTGGGAGAGCGTTAGACTGAAGATCTAAAGGTCCCTGGTTCGATCCCGGGTTTCGGCAGTAGTAGTTTTGGCCGTTTATTTCGGCATATTGCGGTTTATGGTGGCCAGAGCTTAAGCGTCTCCGTGTTTATTGAAAGAATAAAAGTGTACTCTTGTTAATCTATTTTAGCAAGAAGGAAGGCTCTCGTGGCTCCTATGCAACATTAGATAGCACAGCTGTTTGAAATATGTAAGGAGCTGCCAGGCCTTTTTCCGTTTAATTTGTATAGCATTTCGCTTTGTTCTGCCCTAAACTTCCGTGGATTATAGCTCACTTAAAGGCATAGAATTGTATAACATGGTGCCTTCCAAATATGTTGGGATTAAAACTTTGGGTGAGGAATGCTGGAAGTCTGGAGAGACACGGGTCAGAAAATGGTGCTAAATATGGAGTTGTAAAATTGAATGCACTCTTGAGCTACTTGGGTGCAAACATGCAAACGTTGCAAGTTACGATTCATTTATACCTACAAGAACAGCTGGGAAAGATCTTGAATAATGTTTTAACTCCCAGCATGACTAGCTGGTGTATACCGGGGGTTGTAGCTCTTACCTAAATGTGTGTAGGATCACTTTTAATTCTATCGGGAAAATTGCACCATCAACGCGCAACCCACTCCGACCAGAAAGGACACATACACCGCGCTGCGAAAAGAATTCAAACACCTGCTGTATTAAAGGCTAAGTGAATGTTAAAATTGCACAGAAGCCATTGATCAACATTGCTAAACAAACACGAACGCAGCTCCTTTAAGCCAAGGTAGGTGGCCCTGAAAAGGACCTTTGATTTTTAGGCGGTGAACACGCGCTCGGAGGACCTGCGGGAAGCGGCGGCGGCCGGGAGGGCCTTGCGTGCGGTGAGGGGCCGCCAAGGGCCGGGCGCGACTGAAGAAGCCCAGGCAGGCCGCTCAGCCGCCGAAGCCGTAGAGGGTGCGGCCCTGGCGCTTGAGCGCGTACACCACGTCCATGGCGGTGACAGTCTTGCGCTTGGCGTGCTCGGTGTAGGTCACGGCGTCGCGGATCACGTTCTCCAGGAAGACCTTGAGCACGCCGCGCGTCTCCTCGTAGATCAGCCCCGAGATGCGCTTCACGCCGCCGCGGCGCGCCAGGCGGCGGATGGCGGGCTTGGTGATGCCCTGGATGTTGTCGCGCAGCACCTTGCGGTGCCGCTTCGCGCCGCCCTTGCCCAGCCCTTTGCCTCCTTTCCCGCGCCCAGACATACTCGAACCTTCAGTTACCGAATCGAGCAATGAATGAGAAGGGCAAAGGCGCCGCGAGGTTTAAATAGAAGGTGGTCCGACCAGAAAGAAAACTGAACTCCCTTTCGCGCCTTCGGTATTTTCTAACCAACCCATGAGGAGCGAAGAGTTCCAAACGAACCAATCAGCAGCCTCATGACCAAGAGAACGAAGGAGCTTATTTCCTCCCCCCCACCACCCTCTTTTTGTTGCTTTTCCTGGATTGTACAAAAAATGAAATGCAGCCTGGTTTTAGATTACCGTAGGAATGCAGCCCTATTCGTGGTGGGACTGATCTTTTCAGAGTTACTCAGACTTGCTTGTAGGCAGTGTGAGAGTTTGGGTACGTCAGTGGAAGCTGGGGTGGCAGGAGCTGAGCAGGGCTGCAAAGACAAGTCATTCTGGGGGGCATTTTTTCATAGGGTCGCCATATATCAGATAAGACCTAAGAAACCCTAACAATTTCTTTAAAGAGCTTCCGTAGGTGAAGCCAGCCACAACACTCAGTGGACTGAGTATGGACTGGAAAAGGCTTAAAGTAAACCCACTGGTATCAATGAGGATCATATTACTACCCATGTCTAATTTGTTTTATAAATTTCATTGGGCCTAACTCAGAGCTTAACTACAGGTAGATCCAACCTGATGCACTCAGTGGCTGACAAGAATTGCAATAAACTGCAACTAGAAATTGGGTAAATGCAGCAGGAACTTCTGATGCAGCAAGGTGGAGGGGGAATCCATGATTTTTGTACAGGGGAACTGAACTTCCTAGTGGAAGACCAGTCAAGTCTTTACTGCTGAGGAATTTTGTAAAACCCTTCCCTAACATAAATTCTGGAAAAGAAGCTGGTCCATGATCTCCAGAAAATGTAGTGTATAGTTCAACTATTGAGTTTCCTACCACAAAATGTCATGCTAGCCATCAGGCTGGAAGAAAAGTCCCACATCATGCCTGATACAGACAGACTCACAAACCTCCACCTTCCACACTAGAGGAAACTCGCTAAATGGTGTTATTAAGAGGTTAAATTGAAGGGAACAAGAAACTGTACTTCACAGAATACTGGAAGTTTGGCAAGTTAAGAATGTTATTCTACTGGCACAAGGGAAGCATGGGAAATGGATAGAGATTAATATCTAAAAATATACTCAAACTGAAATCCATATATAAATACTAGTAATTGAAGTGGAAGTGTGTGGAATTTGCATTCGATGCAGGAAAGTTTAAATTCATATACGGGCAATTACACCTGCTAGCACAAATTAAACTCTGGGTCCTGTGTGGGTAGATTTAGACTGTCATGCGCAATTGGGATACCAAAGGGATGTAAAGGCGGAGAGTTCTCATTAAGAGGTGTTACTTTGCTGTGTTTTTTGACTGAATGTTCATCACTCCATTAGCTCCCACTGTTGAGTTTCCAAATCCTATAATGTATGCACTGGCCTCTCATGGGGCCCAAATACCCCCCATCCTAAGCTTCGCACACTCCCTTCCAACAGCCCCATCTCTTCCAGCTAAGAGGAGCTGGCTCTAAAGAGCTACTTGAAAGGGATCAAATGAAGATGCAAACTTTTGCTAAAGCCAAGTGAGCGGAGCTCTTTCAGGCAGCCTCCATCGGTGCAGCAGTGTGCAGACTTGAGGGAGCATGTGTGAAGACCCACCGAACTCCCGTACTCCAAGCTGGTTCCACAGATGTTACACTCCATGTGAGTTTCTCTCACATCCATCAGCAGGAGTCACTAGGCTGGTGTGCAGGTTTTTCAGGAACCAAGATTTATTTCTGGTTTGCATCAGACTTGCATGTTCTCTGGATTGTGTTGCCTGAGAAGCCCCCCACGGCCATCGCCTCCCAAAGCCCCCTCCTCCTTCAAAGCCCTGCCTAAGCTGCCTACCTAGCTGAAGACTGGCACCCCCTTTCTGTGCATGGCTCACTGCCGAAGCAGCACCCAGACTCCAGCGTGTCCCGTTTTACCTTGCATTTTCAGCAGCGATGAACAGGCCAGGTGCCAGGGACCCAACGGTAGAGTTGCCCTGTGCTTTCATAAACCTGCCTGGTTCAAAATGCTGTTTTTTAAGCCTTCGAAACAGCTTGCCACAGGACCCGCAGTTCTGCTTGTAACACCTCCCGCGTGTGATGCAACAGTTCAGCCACTGGGCCCTCAGCTCCCTCTCCACCCATGTTGATCCTTAATGGTCAGGCTGGCCCATCTGTTCCAGTTGGCACTTTAACACCCTTAGCTGCTGTGTGACTTCGAGGGGGTGGAGTGCACAGCCAGACTTGACTGGCAAGAAACATTCATGTTTTTCTAATATTCTAAGCTGCCCTGTGAGGGCAGAGTGCCTCCAAAGACAGGCAAGTGTCTCGGTCAGTAATTATGGGAGAGCAGAAGTTCAGGGATGCAGCAAGAACTCCAGTGGTAGCTTCATCTGCTGGAGGGGAAGGCTAGGTTGAAATCCACAGGTTTCAGGGCATTAACAGAGAACAGCCCGGCAAGCATGGAAAGGAACAGCTTTAAACGATTCAATGCAACTTCACCAGATGCAGTGCAGTGGGTAAACATTTACATCACCTGTTGTGTTTGCTTGAAGGCTCATTTTGGGGGCTTACACTGCTCAGGGAGAGTATCCCAAAGCAGACTGTCATAATCAGAAGTTCTTCTGAATTCGGGCTGGACACATCCCTGCTCCACATCTCCCCTTTTCAGGGCTCCATTCTTGAATCGTGACTACAGCACTGCATGGAACCAGGAACCAGCTCGCTCACACCCTCTGGTACCATACCAGATGCAGCCTCTGGGGACGTGTGTGTTACACACTTCTTAAATGCTTGCAGTCAAGTGCTTTTCTGGGACACCAGGTGGGCGTTAGCTCCCAAGCTCCGTCTTCCTCCTCCACCTCCTCCCCACCACTGTTGCTTGGAGAATGTGAGTCACAGCAATGCTGACACAATGAGTGGGAATCATTATCAGTAAAACGGGAACACTCATTATCCATGGCTGGTTTTAATAGTAAAACTCGTTCAGAAAACACCCTCAAGTAACAGTTACAGCTCATGTTAAGCACAGGGGGTTTCTCTTTGAGGGACAAGCACTTTCCATATAACCCTTTAATGAATAAAGGCCTAATATTGGTTAAAAGGCTGGAAACAAGTGACTGAGCAAAGGAAGAGCTGCTCGTCCACAAATGATTTTTGGCTGACCTCAAAGGGGAGCCGTCTCTGTTTCTGCAGCTGAAAGCTGCCCTTTCCCTATGACACAGATGAGGGCAAATGCTCAAGGAGGCAGGTCTTTGTTTTGAAGCTCACACATTTAGTCACTAAGCTTATACCCCATTAAAGCAAAAATTTAAAAATGCAGTATACACAAAAAGCACCCGCAAACTGATCTAAGGAGAACAGCAAACAAGCCCCCTGTTGTGGAAATAACGTTAAGGCCTCAACATTTTGTAACAGCCATGAATTGAAGATTATCATGGGAACAGGCAAGCAGGCCACAAACTAACCCAGATTTTTCTGTATCCCTTCTGAGACCTAGGAGAATCATTCTAGCACCCACACCATTGTACTGACCCTAATAAAAGCAGCCCCCCACTTTACTGTACATTGAAAGCCAAGCTCTGACCACCCATGAAGCTGAGAGAATCCAACCACTAATCACGGCCAGTGGCACACCCTGGACTACCTGTGACAGCACGCACCCTTTCTTAGACACAAGATACAAAGGCACAACCAACGAGCCGTCTAAAAACAATACGTCCTTTTTAATTGTTAAGTCAATAAAGAGGTATCAAAATTAAAAGAGGAGAATTACAGGGAGTTTAACCGAACTACTTGGGGAGACTGGAAGAAAAGGAGGACAGATGCAACAGAAGACAACATCCTGAACACACAGGGCCGAGAGGGAGGGGAGGGGGCAGAGAGGGGGCAGCCGACGAAGGGCTGGTGAGAGGCTCAATATCAGAAGAACGTCGTGTTTGCCAGGGAGGAGAGGAGAGGAGAGCAGAGGAGAGCAGAGGAATGCCAGGCTCTTAGGAGTCATCTTCGCCATTGGCGCTGTCTCTGTCATCTTCGCCTTCTTCGGGCTCCTTGTCGTCACCCTTGATGGACTCCAGCTGAGAGAGAGAAGGGGACAGGCAGAGGGGCGGGGTTAGAAAGCAGGGCGAGCCGCGCTCCTCGCTCCGGGCTCTCTGCCGCCTCCAGCTTCGTACCTGGTCGTCTCCCCGGTCTTCATTGTCGTCGTCGTCCAGCAGGTCCCCTTCCTCAGCGGAGTCATCTGCCCCAGCCTCCGACTCCATCTTGACATTGCTCTCTTCTTTCTTTGCGGAGCTGCTGCTCTGCTCCTCCTCTGACTTGTCATTCTTCAGTTCTAGGAAGGGAGGATACCGAGAGGGTCCAGCTGAGAACTGAATCACTCACCCGCTTCCAGCCTTCTGGTCATCGCCATGCCTTGCGGCCCTTCACCCACTGAGCAGAGGAAACTTCCTAACACACGCTAGTCAACAGCCAATTGCTTGCAGCAGGCCGGAATCGTTCCCAACGTCGGAGAGGCCTTGTAAACTCGGAGGGGACTGGCTCTTTCTAACCAAGCCACCGATGCACGGGTGAAGATGGCCACGTTTGGGCCAACCACGGGCATCACGTTTGGGAGCAGGAGGCTCTTGAGGGCTCGTCTGCAAAGCAGTTGTGCGGGGCTCCGACGGTACACAGCAGTATGGGAAGGGCAGACACCCTCGCCCGCAAACTCCACAGAGACAGCTATGGCCCTCTTCTCCTGGCCGTGGCCCATGGCTATGAACCACCACAGTGAAGTCGATTTACTGAGGAATCCTCGCAGTAGGCCGGGCTCTTTTGGAAACCCCAAACACAAGAGTGCACAGAGAACCACCAGGTATTACCCATCCTGTGCACCAGCCAAAAGGCAACCCCATGGCCCCTGGCCCACCACCACCCATCCCTACGCCAACACAACCCTCTCTGTCCCTCCGGGGGAGAAAGGGCCACGCCCCAAATGCCCGCTGCTCCAAGGCACTCGCCCCACCCGGGGCCCCCGGCCCGCCTTCCCATCCCTCCCACCCCTCTCACCCGACTGTTTACTTTGATCCTTCTCTATCTTCTCCAGGCTTTCCAGCAGGGAATCCACCTTCTGCTTAATCTGGGTCAGTTCCTTCTTAATGGTCTGCAGATCATCTCCTTTCACTGAAATAAGGAAGGGAGCATGTGAATCCAAGTGTGACACCCGCCATTTCGGAAGCACGTCTTCACAGCAGTTTGCCACGGACACTGTCCCTTCAGTAACAGATTAAGAACTACAAGAAAACAGTTCACAGAAATTTGTTTTACAGATTCCCCGGAATGTGCAACATTCCAGTGCAGGACATGTCTACTTGTCTCCCTCCTTATGCACACACTTTGAAAAATGATCAGACCTCCACCTTTCTACCAAGAAAAATAGCCCTCAAGAGAATTTACAATCGATAATTAAAATAAGGAGACACAAGCCTGGCAACAAGAGATTAAGAACAGTGTCCAACCGAATGGGCCAGTGTACGTCTGAAAGGATTGCGCAAACAAAAAGGGCTTTAACGGGAGGCCCAGTAGGGGCCAACGAGACAGATGCTCTTGATGCTACGTCTGGCAAGGAGCTTTGCCCTCTCTCCACCACCCAACACCAAGAAGGCGGGTCAAGCTTGAGGAACCCCGTCTCTCAGGGAGGGGACAGGAGCCCCCCCCCCCGCTGAGTCCTGACGGAGTCGAAGGGACAATATAGGCCTGTCCAATTCCTTGTGACTTTCTGTACAGCTACGACAACGCTCCCCCAAGAGGGGCACTGCCAAATGTTGATGAGATACCGGGGGGGGGGGGAATGTGGCAGTTTTCCAGAATCCTTATTCAAGTCACTGCGCCAGAAAGAGCCCCACCTGTGCCCACCCAAAGCCCAACAGCAAGTGCAATACGTACACTTCCCGGACTTGGAGGACGAACCCCGTTGCCCGCTCTTGGAGTTGAACCCGCTCTTGCCCCTGCGGGAGGTGTTGCCAGAAACCCGCTGGCGTTTGGAGGGTACCACAGCCCTGGCAATAGGAGGGGGAGGCGGCACCCGGGCTTGATAGCTGTACATCCTAGGGGCACAAAAGTCTCATCACAAAGCTGGCCCGCCTAACTTCGGCTGCCAAGCAACCGCCTCCTTGCCTTTCCCCAACGCACACAGATGAACCTCTCCTGTTGCGAAACACCTGCTCGGACCCAAGGGACAGCGCCCCTTTAAGAATTTCTCAGGAGAGCATGACTTGCTTCTGTGGCTTCTCATACACCCCTGTGGATAGGGACGGACACACGCACACCCCCCTCTCACCAGCAGGAACATGCTCTGCAGAATCACACAAGAACGCCCCGGAGTTTCCTTCGGCCTGGGCTTCTCTTCCCCTTCACCCCAATACACTTAAGTGGGACCTCCTTCCCTGAAGGCAAAGCCCTGCTCGCCCATTCATGAGCTGGACGGCAGTTTCTCCTCTTCCCAACATCTGGAGACAGACTGCTCCAGAGGCCTTTCTAAGGAAAGGGGACCAGCTGACTGTTAATGCCTAAGCGAGCCATAAGCAGGTGACCCGGGAAGCCCCTGCCCAAGGTGCCCACACCAGGGTAAGCATTTATTAGATTTCTACCTTTTTTTCTTATAATAACCTCAAAGTGGCTGACATCATTCTCCTCCTCCTCTCAATTCTTCCCTACCACAACAACTGTGTGAGGTAGGCTGGGCCAAAAGACTGTGACTGGCCTAAATTCACCCAGCCGGCTCCATGGCTGAGCGGGGACGATGGCTGGACTGCCTGAGCCTCAGACCTGCACTCCACAGTGAGTGGGAAAATCAGGCATCATGAATCCACCACTGAGCCATGTACTCCCGCCCCCAGCCTGCGTCCTTCACTAGCCGCTGAAGGCAGAGAAATCTCAGCTTTTTCCAGATGCAATGAGCTTTCTGAAGAACTCCCTGCCTACTTAAAATCAAGCCCAATACCTTTAAATATCACCACAATTTCTCTGTGTGCCTTTCAAACTGAGAGATCCCCAAACTACATAAAGCACCCAGGAGTTCAGGTGTGGGCTGAAGAGGCAAGAATTAAAGGATAAGTTTTCTGGCCTGGTGCGTGCAAATAACCCAGCTTGCTCCTTGGCAGGTCCAGTGACGTTGGAACAGGCTGTGCCCAGCCAGCACTCCCTGCGCTGCCTCACTCCAGAGCAGTGGGCGGCTGTTTCCTTTCCCCCTGAACAGAAGTCAGAGGCCACCGGGTCACATACCTGTCATAGTAGTCACGCTGGAAGTCATAATCCAGGTCGAAAGAGGACCTGAAAGACAAAGAGCAGGGAGCAGGGTCAGGTCTCGGGGAGGCTGCCGTGGAAAGGACTGCTGCTCGGGGAGGCTGGAGGCCACGCACCACCCTTTCACGACCAGGATCGGGTGGCAAGTCCCAGCCTGACATAGCAATGACCACAGACAGGTATTCACAGCATGAAATCAGAAGTAACTTTGCATTCATCCCAAGCCCACCCTCTTCGCTCCTCTCTCCTCAAAGCCATCTGGCGCTTGGCACTGGGACCCAAGGAGATGGCAAGCTTCGTCGCCCAAGATACACTAAAGCCCATCTGGCTCAGTCCCCACAACACACGCGGAGAGCAGCACACATCTACGCATTCACACGTGCACTCTCGCACGCACACACACCCGTCTACACACACAGCTGGACGGAAACACAAACGGAGGCATTGCTCTCTGCAGGGCACAAACCAAGATGAATAAAAAACAGAAGTTAAAATAATGAAAACATAAGGGTCCCGACCTGACTAGAGGGGACGGAGAAGGTGGTGCGGCTACTGACCCGTACATCTCTGTGGCCGATCTCTTCACCCCAGCTTTGCCCCGGTTCAACTTCGGCTCAGCAGCCAGATTAATATCTGGAAGAGACAAACGAGTCAATGCGGAAGCTGGCATCTCACAGCAAAATGAAGGCAGCCATACATCTGGGGCCTGTGTGCTTTTCAGCTCTCTGCTCTAAGAGACTGAGAGAATGCACTAGCATGTGCAGTCCACTTAATGCCCAGTCCATACATAGCTGGGAAGTCGTAAGATGCATCTACCAGTGCTGAGGGTCAACCCTCAAGTCCACCTTCAATGCAACTGGGAACACTAGAAAAGTGATGGGTATTAAGTTTGCCCAAGATCTGATACTTTAACAACTGTATTGCTGACAGAGTCATCTTGGGGTCCGCTGTAATCTTCATCCACTCGTCAGTCAACACACAGGCAATCGAGTGTTGGAAGGGATCTTGGTGGCCTGCTTGTCCGACTCTTCGGCTCCACACCTCTGCCCAATGCCTCGTGCACAAAAATGCCATCACCTCCTGATCCAGTCTAATGACTTGTACTGGTTGGAAATCTCTCCTACTGTTCAGCCATGATTCGTTTCGCTTCGATTTCTTGCCTACTGGTTCTAGTCCTACCTTCTCAAAGAGCGAGCGCTGTTACTGCCCACTCTTCCACCAGACAGCCCAATACTTGAAGGCTGCCACCAGGCCTCCTGTTCATCTTCTCCAGGCGAAACACACTCCTGTTCTTTCAGCCATTCCTAAAAGGACTGGGCTTCCCGACCCGTCAATCTTGGTGAGATTCTTTTGTCGACCTTATTAAAATGTGATGTCCAGCACAGAAAGAGGTGAACGTCTTCTCACAATCTGGCACTGCACTTCTGTTGATGCTACCTAAGATTTCGTTAGCTTCTTTAGCCGCTGCACTGCACTTCCAGCTCATATTTTACTTGTTATATATTAAAGCATCTAAAGCCTTTCCAGAAGTATGGTTGCCAAGCCACGTGTTCCTCCACCCTATTCTTGTGTCCTTGAGTTTTAGTATCAAAAGGCTTCACGCAAAACTCAGCTGAATTCGTCCTGTTCGTTTTAGCCCGGTATTCCAGCTTGTCGAGAGGTCCTCTCAAGCCTAGATTCCACCTTCTACAGCACTACTGGAGCCTGGTTTGTGTCATCTGCTGATCTGGTTAAAATCCCACTTGTCCGAGCCATGTCTGAAACGCTGAACAGCACAGGGCCTCCCTGATGGTTGGCTGTTGGGAGACTTCCCCCCCATTGGCAAAGCATGAATGGAAAAGCTGGTCCAGTGGAAGGAAACACAAACTTCTCAGCAGCAAAGGTGAGATCCTGGCCTGACGTAAGTTTTAAAAGGTGCTCACAAGTGCACAGAAAGAAGAAAATTCTACCTTAATAATCAGGCAATGATTTTTTTTTTAATGATAGAGAAGTGAAGCACCCCCCCCCATTGCCCGACACAATTAGGCAGTAACAGGTCTATCACTGTTTTAACATTCTGATTTGATCATTTAATTCTTTTTAATTGCTGGCTTTTGTTTCTACTGTTTTATTGTTTTAATTGGATTTTACCCTGTAATTGTTGTTGCTACTTATTGCAAGCCACCCAGAGAACTCTCGCAGGTATGGCTGCAGCATACAAATGTAAAAAGTAAATACAGCAGGACAATAAATATTCGTGAGCTACAAACCTTTGGGGGGCTATTTTCATGGCTGTGAGGGGCAAATGGGAGAAAAGAGGATTCTCTGTGGGCTGATTTGGGGGGAAGACTAGCGCCTGCAAAGGGATCCTCTGAACAACACTGGCCGCAGCAGTCCGGAGCCCCGGCGACAAAATGCGCACGTCGCAAGGATGCAGGACAATCAACCACGTGTGCCGCACATGCCTGCCCTTTCCCGTCTGAGGGCAGGATCTCAAGCTAGCTAGAGGTGCTCGCCACAGAGAGACGAGTGTCGCCACGGGTGTCACATGCCAGACCCTGCCCAAGCCAGCCACTTTTCAGCCAGTACCTGAACTGTGACCGACACCAAGAAACTAAGACATGTTTAGGTGCACGGCAGGGAACACGTGATCCAGAGGACTGTTTTGTGTGCTTAAGTGCAACGAAGCAAACTAGGCCAGCTCTCCCAAGTGACTTGGGACTGCAACACCCTGAGCTTCCTCACCCAAATGTGGTCCACTTTGCTTCTGCTGGAGCCCCGCAATCTCCCCCCCCCGCCCACACACACCTCTGTCCTCGCAGGCAGCTTGGACAGGAGCCTCGTGAGATGAGCTCCGTGTCATGAGCGGAGCCGGCTGGAGCCGGGGGTCAGACTAGATGGCCCGGGAGACCCCTTCTGACTCGCTCTGTTTCTATGTTTCTATGAGACAGGCTGCATGCGATACACAAACGAGGAAGGGGTTCGCTGGGACTGGGCAGAGGCGGGGAAGGGAAGGCAACACGAGCAACAAGCACACACCTAGGACCTGGCCTGCGATCATCCTGCCGTCCTCTCCCGCCACGGCGGAACGAGCGTTGCGCTCGTTGACGTACTGCACGAAGGCAAAGCCCTTGTGCACAGAGCAGCCGACGATCTTGCCGTATTTGGAGAAGATGGCCTCCACATCAGACTTCTTCACCACTAGTGTGTTGAGGTTCCCGATGAAGACGCGGGAGTTCAGGGAACGCGGGTCTGTCTTGTTGGTGACGTTGCTGGCCATGACTCACGCACGCAGCCGAAACACAGTCCTGGGGCAAGCAGGGGAGGGGGTCAGGGAGAGACAAAGTGCTCAGAGAAGGGACAGCAAGACTTTCCACCTCAACACAACCGGCTACAGGGAGTGAGCATGCGTACAACACGCACGTGACTTCTGCTGGCACTAATGGTCAAGCAAGAGCTCCCATTCTGCTCCAAAAAGCCACCAGCCAGAGGCATGCTAGGAGATGGTCCGCCCTTCAGACAAGAAGAAACGGCCACCTTGCTAAGCAAGCATTGGCTTTCCTTTCTTTAAACAAAAAATAGGGAGGCGCTGCACACCAAATACCTTTCCCCAAAGGCCAAAACTAAGTGAGAAAAAATGGTGGCCAAGTTGTCTCCTGCCCGCCCGTTATCCAGAGATGGCACAGCTGTCCTGCATATACACGCCTGGCCAGCAGCTGCCACGGCTGGTCCCGTCGCAGCGGCTGGGCCAGTGAGGAGGAAGGGCCTTCTCTGCAGCAGCCCCCAGATGGCGCCCGCCCGCCTCGTCAACACTTGCCCAGCACCAGCTTTGCTATCCTTTTGGCGCCAGGTTAGAAATGCCTCTCTGCTGAGGCATCGAACAGCTCTAAGCTGTGCTGGGGTGCGCTCTGCCAGCTGCATGATCCTGTCCTCGCTGCATTAAGTTGTTAAAATCTGGTGTCGGATGTTCTGTGCAATTTCATTATTTTTCTGTTGTATTTTATTGTTGTACACTGCTCAGAGAGTCAGCTATTGTGCATTATAGAAATAAAATTAGTAACTGTGAAGCCAGGCAGTGGGGGATGCGTGAGGGATAATCAACCCATAGCCCATGGTCTATTTCAGGGTTACACAATGGCTTCACCCTGACGGAACTGAGGCCACCAACGTTCCGATGCCGCAAGCCACAGAAAGCACCAGTCAAGGACCTGCATATCCGGAAACAGCAGCGGGAACACTAGCCTGCAGCCCAGGGTTAATGGCTTGCCCTGACACACGAAGGAACAAAAACCAGGAGGGCTTCGCAATGTGTGGTAAAGACCCGTGTGGTATTCTGGGATGCCAGGGCCTCTACTGCCAACTGGCCTGGTCTCTGTAGAGAAAGGCCACTCATTTCAAAGGCATCTCCAGTCTTGTTTTAAACCAGCATTCAGACGGAAGCACCACAACAAAGCCATGATGGGGGGTGGCACGTGGCTTCAGTTTTCCACAGGAAAAAATCCATTTCAAGGGTTCAGTACTAAGGAAGACGGTGAGCCAACCGCAATACAATACAGGAGCCAATACAAAGCTTGGCAGTTTCAAAGTTGTAATCAGCTTTTTTTCAGGCGATTATCCAAAGCAAGTAGGTGAGAATATACATGGCATTAAAAGACAAGCATGTCTCAGACTGGAATGGGTTAAATTCCCCCCCTCATGGTAAAAGAGCTGAGCTTTGCAAGACACAGGCAGGTGGGTATGCAGTTCTTTGGAATACTAAAATTCCCATGTGCCGTTTTCAGCACGTTGTTTCTACTTAAGTTTAAACCACGTAGAGGAAATACATACTATTGTCATTTAATTTTTACCAGTATTCCTATAACACTTTCTGCGTGTTATTCAAATCACAGAGGGTGTGTTTTAATTTTCCTCCTCAAATATTCAAGGTAAAATCTTTATGGCATACCATGACAAAAATTAACATGTGTTTCCAGGCTTGCTAACTACAGAGAGATAAAATAGCAGGCTGAGTTAGATCTTTCCAGGGCACGGATGGTCAACATGTGCCCCTCCAGACAGTTTTGTCTACAGCTCCATCAGCTGCCAATGGGGAAGAGGATGCAAGCATTACTAGACGGCTACAAGTTGCCCCAAATATGTGTAACTTATTTTAATAGCACACTGAGGAATCTTGGGTACTAAGTTCTAGCCTCTGCTCGAATTTGCTGCCCAGATTCCTTACATGGAAGTTCTAATCTTCTGCTTAAAGGAGTTTTTGGAGCCATGAAAGCTGCCCAAGGACCCCTCCCCCAGCCTGAACCCCCTTCTGCTATAGGTGGTAGAGACCCTGCCACATTCATTTCCCAGACTTCCAACCATTTACATCAGCTTCCCCCCACCTTGTACTCTTCCAATGTTCTGGACTACATGCCCCATCATCCCAACACACAACCACTGGCCCCACTGGGTGAAGATGATGGGAGCTGTACTTCGGACAGCACCATGCAGGGGAAGTCTGATTTGCCTGAAACCAATCCTGTACATCTACAGAAATCTCTCTGCGTGTGTCTCCTTCGGCAGGAGAGCATATTAACTGTTAACGTTATGTCTGAAACAAGCAACTGCCTGTGCAGATCAACAGGGGTCAGCACTGGAAGCTCATCTCTGTATGAAATCGACACAGAGGGATGTCTTGGCATATTTCTGAAGGAACCCTGAAGTCGTTTTGGCAAGCTCCCTAGCAAAAGGAATTCCAACACAAAGGGGCGTTTCCCTGGTCACGCCTTCACATGCCCACCAAGAAAATGGCTGGACAAAGTCTTCCCCATCTGACTCCCCTGCCTTTGCCATGGCACATTCAACTTCTATTCAGCAAATAAGCTTAAGCCAAAGCACTGTGGCCATAACAACGGGAGACAGCGCTGTATTTGAATGCAGGAGGAGGTCACACATCTGGATCCCCCCGTGCAGCAACATGGCTCCGGGAGGGTCACAAACTCTCTGCTTATCCTAAACTCAAAGGGGCTGAGACAAAAATGAGACGAAAACGGTGAACAAAGCTGACATGATGAGAAGAGCTGCACAAGATAGCCCAAGGTCTTCGAAATGAAAATCTCTGCGACCGGCCAGTACGTGCACCTCACCTCCCAGTGTGCTGATGGGGACTGTGTGCATTTGGGCTGGGAGAGGGTGTGGCAGCGAGGACCGATTAAATAGGATTGGCAGCAAGGGAGGAATGCTACTGTAGCAGACAAGATGCAGCGAGCAGAACGGAAGAGATGAGTGAAGTGCAGCTTTTTCACACACACATTCCTTTTGTGAAGGATCACGGCAATGAGAGCCTTCCCGCAAAAGACTCTAATGGCCAAACAAATGGATCCCAGGAGATCTAGTGGTGAACTTTGCTTGAGACCAGTATTCCACAATCTGAAAAAGTGAGCTTGCATCTTTGCTATTATAAGCCGCTTGTTCTTCTACCTAAAGCTTCCTTTGCTGGAAATTGCCTCTCCTTTTATTTCCCATGCTGTAGAGGAACAACAGGGCTGTTCTCCTTCCTAAAAGTTGAGTTTTTGCAACTCAGTGCCACTTCCTGCCAAAAAATGGGGTGGGGGGGGACCCACATCCCCTTTATTCTTTGCAGGGGAAACCAAAGCATAACCTTTCCCAGTCGATGTTCACAAGCAGCAGCGAGAGGCTTTGCCAAAAGCACAACTCCACAAGAAAGCCACCCGTTTTTCCCTTCTTCAAAAAGAGGGTTTTGCAGGGGGCGGGGGTGCAGAAAGGGCTGGCAGACACCTCAAGGTACAGTGGACACACCCTCAGCTTTCACGGGGAAAAGTAATGTTCGGCTCTTTGCTACCATGAGCCTTTTACGCAGCACAGGCGGCAAAGCTGCAGGTGATGCAGGTGTTAATAACCTCAGCAGGGATTCCTGCAACACTCTCTCTGCGGGGCTGCCCTGAAAGCTGAAGCTAGGGAAGAACACTGCAGCTCAGCCTGCAACGCCCTGGCTGAAGGAACCACGCTGGCAACCCATTGGCTACTGGGCCAGGCAGCGAATAAGCGGAGTGCAAAACCCCAAACCAGCTGGAACAGGGACACCCGAGGGCTCCTTCTCCCTGATCAACCAACCTAATCAGTGAAGGACAATCGCCACGAGATTGATTCCACCAGGGACAGACTTCCTGCATGGAGGCCCCATTTCTATGGAATTCCCTGTAGCTGGAAGTCAGGCAGGCTCCTACACTGTGCTATTTTTGGTGCCTTCTGAAAACCACTTTGTGTAGTCTTTCCCGCTGACCAGCTGCTTTGAGCTACCTTGCTTTTTTAATGATGTATTGTGTTTGCCTTTTACTCTTCACTGCTTGGAAATCTGCCTGGAGAAGGAGCTGCATGGAAAAACTGAAAATAAATATGAAAGCAAAGCTGAGTACTCATGAAACAAAATCACCTGTCCCCTGGTGCCCTCCAAGTGTGTAGCTGCTATTATTATTATTATTAATAATAATACAAAATCACATTTATAGCTCGCCTTTCTTCCTCTTGTGAGGAAGCCCGAGGCGGGTTGCATAGCTGCATTTTATCCTCGCAACAGCAACCCTGTGAGGTAGGTTGAGTTGAGAGTGATCCACTGGCCCAACGTGAGCTTCACGGCTGAGGGCGCATCAGAACCCGGGCCTCCCAGGCCCTCTGTCCAGCATTGCTCACCGCCACACTAAACTGAGTTGCCTGGCAAGCCAGCCAGCCTCCCCACTGCTGACTAGGTCACAGTCCAAAGGAAAGTGAGATGGGAAAGCAAGCTGCGCAGGGTCTCTCTCCTTTCCTGGCAGGCTTCTTGGGATGTGGCAGCGCTCAGGTGCTGCTTCCGTTACCTTCAAGCACAGCACAAGACCTCCACTTTGCTGAAGCTCCCTGCACCTTCTATTTGGGTGAGGTGGGTGGGCGGGTGGGAAAAATCGGTGGGGACGCAACTAAAGGGTTTGGCTAGGAAGCCGGTGTTTGGCACTGTGTTCCACTTAACAAAGAGGCTAACGCCCTCTCTATGAAGGCTCTTAGTGACAAATGAGTTCCACAGAAGAGTCGCATGCACTTTAACTATCGCCTGGCCTGTACCGTGCCATGACCCTTCTGTTTTACACTGAAAACGGGACAAGTGTGTGCACTTCTTCAGAATTAACTGTTCGCATCTCTCCCGTTCATACTGCTCTCTGCCCGATTCTAAGATGCCTGTTTCCATGGGCAGGGAAAGGAAGGGCCACTGGCCAGCTTCTCCTAAGACAGCAGAAGCCTACTGAAAACCGTGGCAGATGAGACTAGGCAGGGTGAGTCTGCGCCTGACACGGCAGGGCTCCTCTTGCATTCTCAAGCAAGAAAACAACACTGACACTGAAACGCAGGACAGCTGCGGAGCGGCCCCTGGAATACCAGGAGAACAGCGTAAGGTGGGGTATCCCATTATTCTTTTCACAGTGCCTCCACCAATCACAACCACCTTTAGTCTGTCTTCCCCAACCTGATGTGCTCCAGATGTTTCCAACAGCAATACCCAAGCTGTCCAACATATTTAGAGTGCACCAGGTTAGGAAAGGCTGCTTCATGATGTAACTTGAAAACTAGTACCTGAACTAGCTGATCACCTACCTCCTCTCATCTCTTTTTCCTTGAGTATAACGCCTTGAGATTGTTAGCCTAGAAGGAAAGACTAATTGCTTCCAAGCGCCTAGAAAAATACAGGCACCATAACAAAACATTGTACTTAACTGTTGCTTAGGAGTTCCCAGGTTTGTTTTTGCACGTTATAGACTGAACTAGGGTGACAGAGTTGCTGTTTTTAAATAGACCACACAGAGCCGGACAATCTATCCCAAACATTGAGTCCAGTGCACAAACGCACATCAACTCCTGCTTCCCCAGCCCCACCCCTCTGCCTACTTAAAGGAGCTGGACCTTCCTCTTCCTCTTCCCCTTGAGGTTTTGAACCGCTCAACCCAGAGCCACCCGCGGTCACGCCTGAGGCGCAGGGGATCCTCGTTCACCAAGGCCTTTAACAAGGGTGGCCGCTGAAGCCTGGAATGAAGCCCGCTCAGCCCCTTACCATCAGCCCAGATGGGTTTGTGGCTGCTCCGTGTGAGGCTCCGCTGGCAGCTGCCTCGGCTACTCCAGACTGGGTCCATGGCGGCGTTTGTAAGGGAGGGACGGTGTGGAGGAAAAGACTGGGGCAGGAACTGAGGGGCATGAAAGGGGTGGGGAGCGGGGTCTGACCAGGGAAAAGCTGCCACTGCTAGGGAGTGATCAGCACCATAGACACATTGCAGCAACAGTTGAAAAATTGCACAGAAATAAAATATTAAAAATTAAAAATAAAAAAATAATAAAAAGTGCAGGAGCTTCCTGAGATGTTCAAACAAGTTCTGGAGAGAAATCGGGTTCCATTCTTGGCAGCCAGGCGATCGGGGAGGGAGGGAAAAAAAGAGTTAACGCGATCAATCCACTTTTTAAAAAATGTGTTTTAAAAACCTTGTTGCGTTTTCCCCCCCAAGGGGTTAAAAGCCCAAAGTCAGTTAGGATCACTCAGAAAAACTCCATTTTCATCCGGTTAAAAATGAGCAGTCATTTTTTTTAAAACATCACCATCAGCAATACATCATCATAGTCACAGTCACCAGCATCATAGTAGCAATAATATCAATAAGTAACTAGTAACAACGATAAAAAGGAAATCAGTGGAAAGGCAGGAAAAAAATGGAAAAAATGAAATAACTTACTGTAGCTGAAGATCAAAAAAATCTCGCTGTAAAAAAACAAAAATAAAAATAGCCCAGATTAGAAAAACGGGAGGTGCAAAAAGATCAAAGTCAGTAACGATTTTTTCTCTTTTATCTTTCTGTCCTTTTCCCCCCTTTCATGTGCTCGTTCCAGCCACGGTTACTGCAGAACCAGGCAGGGGAGAGCTCCTGGCAGGAAACAATCCAAGCCCTTTGAACACCATTTCACTCTGAAAACGCCCGAGAGGGGCAAGTTCATACGAGGCTAAAAGGTTCCTCCTCCAACCCAGCTGCTGCAGGGGAAAAAAAAGGCGATTTTTTTTCCAAAATTACATCTTTCAATCCAGCTTTGGTTTGACTGCAAGGCAATGCTGGGCCGCAAAGGCAGCATTCTAATAAAATGGCTCGCTCTAAGATACTGGGGGGAGGGTGCGTGCGATGGGGCGGGGGGATTAAAAAAAACGAAGCTGAGCTCCAGTGAAGGAAGGGTTGGGGGTTTTCGCCTTGCTGCCCTGTGAAAGGAGAAGGGACAGGATGAGTCAGGGTACCCCAGAAAACTTGCCCACATCTCCCAGTATCCCCCGCCGCAGAGAAAAGAAACCCAGCTGCCAGTCCCACACGGCTCCTCCAAGCTCGCAGCTACCTCCTTGCAGGCAGTTTAAGATGCTGCTTTTGATCTTGCCTGCTTCCGCTGGTTGCCAAGGAGGCAAGCCGGATGACGTGAGAGGCACCTGCAAGCTTGTGCTAGGAGGTGGACTGCGCCTAACAAAGCTCACACAGATGCCCTGAAGCAAAGATGAGGAGGAAAGCTATGCACACAGGTTCCAATGCATGGGACCGCAGGAGCCTCACCAGTGTCCGGGCATTAAAAGCACTGAGGGACCACAGTGTTAATTAATTCCCCACCCATCACTCCAGTAATTAAGCAGCATGTGCATCCATCTTCCACTGGCCTTTTAGCTCTGTGTTTAGAGCTGGAAATACCCCAGGCTCTGAATTCCAGTCTGCAATGTCGTCAAGGAGTTCTGGGTTAAACTCTACCTTGTGTCTCATTTTTGATCTACCCCCCTCACCCAGGTCTAAAATGTCAGGAAGTTATCGCAGATAACCCACTTGTGTGTGTGTGTGTGGGGGGGGGGGGTTTTTTTTTTTTGGGGGGGGGGGGCGACAAAACGCTCCTTGCTTGACTCAAAAGAAAAATGCATAGCAAAAATATTCCTCCTCTCTTCCATGCTATGCTTTCCCTGATGGGATACAGGATACCTTTGAAGCAGTCAGCACAGGCAGGGAAAGACATGGGAATGGGAAGGGCTAATCATTTAGAAATTACTTTGGAAAAGCAGCACAGTTTATAAGCAAATGGTCACAACACTGACACCACAAACATTTTGTCGCCACCTTCAAACAAGATAAAATGAATTTAAGACCAGTCTATTAATATTCCTGGACAGCTCATAAGTACTTTAGGGGGTGGGCAGCCTATCTTGGCATTAACACCACTGCTGGGAGAAAAAGTATGTCACTCTCTAACCCAACAAACGTTCTCTCCTCACCCCTTTTCACAAGCTGTTTGTTGCAACAAATTGAGCCAAGTGGAGCTTGTACAATCGGGGTGTATTGCACCAAGGGTGGCCTGCCCAACGCTCTACTAAGAATGGACCTGGAGGACTGGGATTGAGACTCCTGGCCTGGAGCAAACGCTGTGACATCCCTTACTGACCAACTGCAGCAAGGGGGTGTGTAGGCTTCATTTTACTTCAGCTAATGATATCAAGGCTGCAACCTTAAAAAGCCTACTTGGAAAGTTATCTTTTCATGCTGTAGATTAGAGATGGGTGACCTGTGGAATTCTGGCTTACTAGATACGGATGGACTGCAGTACCAATCGTCCTTGGCTAATGGAGCAACAATCAGAGATCATGTTTTGACTTCTAAACCAAAACATCTGGCCACAAGTTGCCCACCCCTGTAGACTAGTAATTCTACTCTGTAGGATTTTAAGTAAATCAGTTACTTTAGGCCCAGGGTTACAGGCTGCTCTAACACTGCTGCTACAAGCTGCTGAGCATCCAGGGCCGGATCAGCTGATTTGCAATTTACATGTGGAAGTGATGGAAGGGTCACCCCTAGTCCCATTAACACTGACACGCTCTTTCTATTCTTATCCAATCCGCAGTTGTTGCCACTCAAGGAGCTCCTGACAAGGCCATGGATGCAGGGCCCACTAAGTCCTGCCTCAGGGTACCAATAAAAACCCAATGTGAATATTCTGTAACTAACGTAACATAAAATCATTCCACTCTAATCTTAATGTGATTAAACAGTCACCCAATTCCCCCAAGCATTGCAAAGTGAAAAATGACATGGCAGGCTCCAACAGCAGAATAACTGGCTTCCACTGTACCATACTTAACCCAGTTTAAATTGAGAGGAGCCTAAACTGGACCCAAGCCATAATGAACAAAACAGCAAGCACAAATTCAATCTGAGAGTGCGTCTGACAATCACAATATACAAGATTTCTAACTAGGGAACTTTCCCACCAAAGCCAGTAGCACATCAGCCTTCCATGCAACTCAGAGGCTTGTGCTTCGTTCAGCATCCAAAGCTGACGCAAGGTAAATAAAGCACCCGAGATTATATATCCTTTATAGAAATGAAGATGGCAGCAGTCCACACAAGGCCACAGAATTACTTCACCTTATTGTTTTCAGTTAAGGCGACTGCAGAGTGTGCTAGCACTTTTAAAAGGTAACGAATTTATCATGGCATAACCTTTCACAGGCCATCTTGCTGCAGTCTTTGCCCCCACTCCTTGCAAACAAGCCAGTGCCTTTATTTCAAAATTAACTTATCTAGGACTGCACTAGCCCCACTGCTGCCCAGAGGCATTGGATTACACCTACTTTTGGGGGGGGGGGGTGCTGAAAGTTTTAATCCAACACATTTGGAGGTACTCTCGCAGGGAGAGGCTGCACTACAGTGTAAAAGCCACTTTTTCTCACCAAGTGCTTGCAGCTGTTTTGCACTGCAAAAGATTAGCTCCGAGCAGTGGGGTTAATGATCAAGGAGGTCAAGATTTGTAGTCCACAGTATCTGGAGAGCACCACGTTGCAGAAGGCGGCTTTAAGGTGCCACTAAGCACGTTGCAGAAGGCGGCTTTAAGGTGCCACTAAGCACGTTGCATTTGCTGTAACAGACGCGTGACCATCTTTGTTTTTTCGAAAGGTCTTTCACAGAAAAAGGCCTGGGCGATTTCCAATTTTTGGACAGCAGTTAGCAACCTTAAACACTTATGTTAGAAAAAACGCGCCCTCTGCCCATGTATGCGCATAAACCAGCCTCAGTCGGGGCACAAAAGTGGGCCCAGGATCACACTCTGTATTAAAACCTCTAATCCAGATTAAGCTACAGGATGGAGTGTAAACGCCCCGGCCTCTGCACTGGAAAAGAGGGCACAAGCAATATTAACAACTTCCTCCTCATTCAGAGGCCTCGCGTGTTTTTAGAGCAGGGAAAGCTTTTCTCCCATCAACACCCCACTTTCTTCCACCGCCTCCGCGGGGGCGGGAAAATGCCCTCTTTCCTTGCACCACCCCTCCCCGTTACTATGGTCTTTCCCAGAGAAAATGGGTATAAACGAGCTCGGATGTACCATTTCTACCGGGCAGGGGAAGTTAGTAAGAAAATGGCACGATTCTAAAGGCAAATAAGGGAAATACCAACGTGGTGGGGGAAGGGGACAGAAAGGGCGATACCATTTTTCCCTCCCACAAAAGCCGGGGAAGGGGAGAAACGTCGCCACTTTTTCTTCCACGACCTCAGGCGTTACTTTCAAGGCAACGAACTCACCGGGAGGCCCAATTCCACCACACCGCCGCTTTCTGGATATATAGCTTTTCCTCTCTCTCTTTCCACAGCTACGTTCTCCTCATCCACGCTCCGGCCTCTTCACAAAATGGCGCCCCCACCACCCTCTGCCTCTGCGCCGCGCAGGCCGGATCTATAGGAGCCACGCCCCCTTCTTTGGGACGGATTTAGCATTTCGACGAAGCTCGTTGGCTAGAACCCCTGTCAATCAAACACTCGCCCAATTATGCGCGCTTCGAGGGTGGGACGGCGAGGACGAAATAATAACTGGGAGGGACTGGGAGAGATTTGCGAGATAGAAGGCGGGACTCAGAAGGGGATACGCTAGAGTGTGCTGCCAATCTGGGTGCCCTGAACATTATCCGTTTTGTGATTGAACAATTGAACTGTCACTTCAACTACTTCCCTTGCCATGATTAGTTGCAGCACTTCCCCCATCTGCCGCTAATTTGTCCCCGCCTACATCCTAAATATCCTGTTCTGAATGGCTTTAAATCCTGCCACTCATTACTCCTTTTGTTGTAATAGGTTACTATACAGTAACCAATAGGAGCGAAGGGTGTAATTTACCTTATTATTATAATAAAGACCTTAACGTACATCCGGGTCTCTCGAAAGAATGTCTCCGTTTCCTATGGGTCCGGGCAGTGTGACGCACATGAATCCACGAGCAGTCATTGGGCATCCGCAGCGCCAGAATGGATTCCTGAGTCCGATTGGACCCGCGTAAAAAACGCGGGGTGCCGCATCAGCTTAGCTCCGCCAATCAGAGCCTCTCATACCTCGGACCCATCTTCTCATTGGCTGGTTTGAAAACGACCCCCTCTCTTGCATTGCCCCTCTTTCTTCATTGTAGCAAAGCAAGGGGTGCAGCCGAATAGGAAAATAAAGGGAGGCGTAAATAAGGCTGCAATGCGATGCATTTTTCTCTGGGACTGCGTGTTCTTGGATTCCAGTGGGAAAACTCACCCAGATGAAGGCGGGGAGGCTGGATTGAAAGCGTGGCTGCGATGGAATCCTATGGGAAGGAAGTTGTGCGACGGGATGCGCAGCTGAAAATGGAGGGAGCGGATGTACCTTGGGGCGAAGAATGCAATCCTAAAGCCGATCGCACCGGGCTGGCTGAAAAAGAAGAAGTAACCCTATGCAACTCTAGACAAAAACACGCCGCAGTTCCCAGCATACCTCATGCTGCGCTAGAGGCCATTTTCCTTTCCAAACACGCCTAGTATTGCCCCTTTAATGTTTTTTGCCATCTTCCCGTCCCATGCCATTCCCCATTTCTTTTTAGACTGTGAGCCTGAAGGCAGGGATGCTTGTTGGGTCGAAGCCTTTTTGGCTGAGGACTGGGGGCAGATCTCTTAAATAAATGAGGTTACAAACATAGGATTCATTGATCTGTAGCATTTTACCGTGCTCTTTTGCAAAAATCTGTCTCAGAGTGGCTTACCAGAGATTGATGAGTTACAAGGAAAGCAGACTTACAATCTTAAAGAAAAAATTCAAAAGAGAAGGGAATGCTTTACAGCTTTAAAAAAAGTTTATTTGGAAATAGTTGAGGCAGAGGTGGAACATGGCTAAACTGCTCTTGCAGCAGAGCAGATGAAATTGCCTTGCAGCTCCATTTCTCCCTTAGCTGTAGCCACGTGGCAATGTAGAAATGCCGTGTTAGTGTAACGACTGTATTAGTCCGCCCAAAAGTGCACAAAATGTGCAAACTTCTCAAACCTCCAAGATCTTTTCATCAGCCAACCTGTGCAAGACATCCATGTTGGGTCCTTGCATTCATGTGATGGTTTCAAGTAGAACTTTTAGCTTTCCTCCAGTTGCTTGGAATGAGGAAGGGAACTGCCTTGGATGATCCATTTTTTAAAAATCAATCCCGGTGCTTTGAGGCATGTTTGTCATCCCGGACAAAGCACACAGTACGCTCTTTGCTGGTAGACCACAGATGCATATTTACTTGGAAATAAGTTGCATTAAGCAAAGTAAAACCTACATAAGCACACTTCTGGTGGTACTGTAAAAACCTAGCATGGTACATAAAAAGGATGACAGTCAGCCTTCTGGGGCCCTCTGCATCATTAACAGTTGTACAGAAGAGGGAGTTTCAGTGGCTGCAACTTTCATGACAGTCCTGCTAAGATGTTTTCTTGTATATTAATAAGGCACCCACCCCTCTTATGCATTTTAAGGGCTGCTTTGCTTTAAAAAATATCTTTCAACATTTTGTTTCTAGAAATTTTGTCTTGTATCTGTGCTAAATGCTGTTAAATTTTAAACCTCTTGAGTTACAGGCTTGTTTTACAATTTCTTCATGAAAACTGTTGGAATGACATTTTAATATTGTTGAACAAGATATTGTATCACAATTTATGTTCTCCTTTTCCATTTTCTGATTGCCCCATTCAGAATATAGCTTGGTGTTCTGACAAAAGATTGCAGAAATGTGTTTGTTTGTTTGTTTATTACAAGCACTTCTATCCAGTTCTTCCACACAAGTGCTCAGGACAGCTTACATAATATAAAATTCCAAAATACAATAATTTGTTGAACATACAGATAGATTTTTGGCCCCCTGGAGTTCCTCTCCCTTTTGCTTTGGACTTTCTTAGATCATTACATTGTGCTTATAGCCTGTCTTTTTTCCCTTTTTTGTGAGGAACTCAAGGTAGCTTACACAGCTCCACTTTCTCCTCACAACAGCCCCGTGAAGCAGGTCAGACCTTGAATCACATCCCATCCTTTTTACCCGCCCCAAAAGGTCAATTCCACCTAATGTGAAGAACATGGAATCCCTAAACTGGGGTGAAAACCCTTCAGCCTTCCAGATGTTTGTGTGCTACAACTCCCATCATCCTTCAGCATTGACCATGCTGGTGGAGACTAATGAGAATAGCCACTCCACCATATCTGGAGGACTAGCATCGTCCATTTTAGCAGTATGGGGAGCCATGTATATTTATGGCCAGGGCATCTCAGCTCCATGAGTCCTCCTAGGCTACAATCCTATGCAGCTTTAGACTGTCTGGACAACCTGGGAGTTGGAGGACTTTTCCCCATCTAAACCTGTATAAGACAGCAGCCTTAGATGCTTCATTTTTAACATAAACATTTATGCTGTGACTCTCCAGGCAAATGAAGGGAGGTTGCGGATCAGGTTTGGCTAGTCTCATTTTATCCTCATGACAGCCCTTTGAGGATAAAATGGGGAGAGATTGTGAGTGGCTCAGCACCACCTGCTGAGCTTCCTTGCATCCTGGGGAACTGAACCTGAACCTTTCTGTTTTCAGCCCAACACTCGTAACCACTGTGCTATTTAAGTTCCCTGGTTGAAATTGAAAATGGTGTCTGTTTCAGTTGAAGTGAGCCTGCACGTGGGAGAGTCCGGCAGTGCCCATTCTGACCCCACCAGTTGCTGGGGAACATGGGTGGAAAGATGCTGCTGCACTCATCCTGCTGGTGGGTTTCCCATGAGCAGCTGGTCGGCCACCGGGTGAACAAATGCTGGACTAGGTACAGCACTGGTCTGATCCAGGTGGTCTTTTCTTCTGTTCTTATGGACACTCGGCAAGAAGGGAAGGAACAAGTAGAACACACAAAAGAAAAATGCAGTCTAAGAAAAGCATTAAGAACTTCAGTGGTATGATGTGCCATGATGAATATGTTAGCTATCAATGTTCTCTACTCTATATTCTCCATGTCCCACTTCTGGACAGGAATAATCTCCCTCCCTCCCTCCCTCTTACACATACCCAAATGCTTCTCTAAGGAATGGACTCACAAGAACTTCTGCATATGAATAAGATTCAGAACCTTAAACCCAAGGCCCAGATCCAGTTGATTTGGAGTCTGGCCCAAACTTCTTTCTTCACCAACCCTTTGTGATTTTCTGGCTTTCGTATGGTTTTTTCCTGATTCTCAGTGGTTGAAATATCTCCCCCAAGGCTTAGCTGTGGGCAGGAATCACTTCAGGCTATAATATGCTGGTCGCTCTGGCCATCTCTCTGCCTTTAGTGAACCTGGAATGAAGTCCCCTAAAACAGCTCCGAAATAGCCAAAACAGCTCTGGATTCAGGATGAAAGCAACCCAGTAAATGCTGTATTATTTCCCCCCCCCTGCAAACATGAAAGATTTTGGGGATACAGTCCCCACCTCCAGCATTGCTTTGTCATTTGCTCTCAAGTCAGTTCCAACTATGGTGACCCCGTGAATGAAAGACCTCCAAAATGTTCCCCTGCTCAGCTGTTCTAAATTCAAGGCTGGGGCTTCCTCGATGGGGTCCATCCATCTCTTGTTTTGGTCTTCCTTTTCTTCTTCTGCTTGCGGCTTTACAGGATGGTCTCCCCCAGGGAGTCTTGCCTTTGCATGATGTGTCCAAAGAATGACAGCCTGTTTTGTCATTAGTATTACCAGGTGTAATAATAAACATCCAACAATGGTCAAAAGGGAGTGGAACCACCTGGAGAAGTCCCGGATTGGGAATCCAGGTGTGTGGGATTTACAGAGCAGGCCTAAAGTCAATAACCCTGCACAGAAGCATCAGGGATCACAAAAAGATGTGGAACAAGAATGTGGTCGACAGTTTGGGCAGAGTTATTGGGTTACACCCCATGTTCCAGTCTGGTTTTACACTTGTTCAGTCAAAAAGGATGGGGGTCTTTCTTGCTTTTCTAAACTGTATGCCATTCCTGGCTTGCGAGCCTTGGAACCGAGCACAACTTTAATCTCCGTCCGGACATCTTTGAGGAGCAGGATGTAAAGGAGGGGATCAAAGATGTTGTTCAAGGTGGCCAGACACCGAGTTGCATGTAGACAGATATAGGTGTTCTCCACCAGGTTACAGGCTGCTCTTTCAACCCCTTTTACTTCCCAGAAGTATCTGTAAAACAAAGTCACCTGGAAAGGGGTGAAGAAGAGGAAGAAGGTGATGATGATGAGAGAGACAAACCAGTAGATTTGCCTCTTCACCCTCCGCTCCAAGGAGACGACTTTCCTAAGCTCCAGCAGGATGCTCAAATAGAAAAACCCCATGAGAAGGCAAGGAGTCAAGAAGGAGACAGTCATGATGCTTATCCTGAAGAGTGCATAGTGATAGTTCAGCTGGGAGCTGTCTGGGCAGCTCGTCTGCTTGTAGTCCACCTCTAGCCAGATGCCAACAATGCATGGGATCAGCACCAGGAGCCACATGGCGATGCTCACCTTGGTGGCGCCTGCCATCTCCTGCAGTCGGTGGAACCGGAGCAGATGCACAAGGCCGAGGTATCGCTCCATGGCGATGAGGCACAGGAAGTTGTTCTTGGCATAAAAGTTTGTGCGGAAAGCCAGCTTGACCGCTATGAACGCTTGGTCTCCCAGGCCCCACTGCTGGTCCCTGTAGCTGTGGTACATCCAGAAAGGCAGCGTCAGGATCTGGAGGAGGTTGGCCAACAGCAGGTTCATGACGTAAACTGAGAGGAGGACGGATCTTTTCAGCTGGGACACCACGGCCCAGAATGCAAAGCAGTTTAGGGGCAGCCCGGCCAGCAACACAAGCGTGTACACCGGGATTTTAAAATACTTGATGGTGTTCAGAGGCACCACACAACACGATGTGCTGTTGTTCGTCATGCTGAGCCGGAGCTGATGGATTTTCCCACAATGCTCTGTTCCTATCTTCCGGTCGCCATTCTGAGGGGCACAGACGCTGCTCGAACTGTGCTGAACTTTAAATGCTTCCACGGGACATGGCAAGGAAAAGAGGGCAGTCTCAGGAGGAAGGGGAGCCCACGTCTTCGCTCCTTCTTTAGGAGGGACAGGTCGCCCGTCCTTCTAATGCAGTTCAGCGTTTAATTACAAAAAACCAGGGCTTTTCTCAGCCTGAGGGGAAAAGACAGCAAAAGAGATCAGATGGGGACTGTGTGATAGCTGTGAATCTCTCTCTTTCTCTCACCCTCTCTTCTGTACATCCATGAAAGGAGAAAGAGGGACGTTTCAAGCTTAAGCCCTGACTTAATTTATGCACACATATGCAATGCTTGGTACACAAGTCTTCTGCAACCCCTTTCCCTTCCGGCATGTTTGACTACAACAACCATCATCCACAGCTAGCAGAACACATCAGTCATGCTAGTTGCGGGGGGGGGGGCTTGTCATCTCAGCGTTCATCAGCTGGAAAACCCCAGGTTGGGGAACGTAGTTGAACCTGCCTCCATGGGAAATAGCCCTGCTAAATTCCCCATGTGGGTCGTACAGTGTCAGCCTTTTAGCTGCTCTTTGAGGTTTCTCATAAGCTACTCGAGAACAAATACTGCCAAAGGGGGCTTTGGTTACCAAAAGCACATGCCAAGAGGAGAGAGGCAGAACTCAACCCCAAGAGTTTGGGATCTCCTTTTCCTTCTCCACATTGCGGAGGCTGGGTTTTTCTATTTATTTCTGGTGGCCACAAAGGGACTCTTGGGTTCCTCACTGCCTTACTCATGGGCAGCATAATAAAGGCTTAGGGCAAAGGGCCAAATTCCAGTCTGGGGGAGCTCTTGGGACTGCATTCCTTCTCTGGTCGCAGCGGGATTCTTACCGATCTCAAGCCGACTCAGAAGTAAACGGGTCTAGCCTTTGTCTGGTTTGCCCAGGCAAAGGCTGGATCGAGTCACTCCATGGCACTTTCAGATATTACTCCAAATACCCAGCCCTCAGAAGTAGAAATTATTGTAATCCTTTAAGTAGAAATACGGCACATCCTGACATAGTGTGTTGCTGTCGATGGACAGCGTGGTGTAGTGGTTAAGAGCATGGAACTGGGATTCAGGCAACCCGGGTTCTAGTCCCCGCTTGGCTATGGAGCCAACTGGGTGGCTTTGGGCCAGTCGCAGACTCTCAGCCCATCTCGACACAGAGGGGTGGGGATAAGTTTGATTGCAGGAGGGGGACAAAGATGTCAGCCACTTTGGCTTTGTAAGAAGAAAGCAGGGTATAAACCTAATAAAAAGATAAATTAATGAATGACAAGGCCAACTCGTCCTTCTGATTGCTCTTTATCTTTAAACTGGACTTCAAATAGGAGGGCCTTCTCTGTGGTGGCACCCCGAGTGTGGAATGTGCTCCCCAGAGAGGTTTGCCTGGCGCCGACTCTATATACTTTTCGGTGCCAGGTAAAAACCTTTTTATTTACCTATTATTTTAAGGATTGAGGAATTTTAACCTGGTTTTATTAATATTAATACCCTCAGTCGCATCTTATCTTGTTATTATAGCTGTAGATTGTTTAGATTTATTGTTTATTTATATTATATTGTAAGCCGTCCTGAGACAATTGGTTTGTATAGGACAGGATAAAAATGTTCTAGATAAATAAATAAATAAAGGACTGCCCAATAAAAACAAAAACAAAAAAATCTTGGTCCAGATGTTTTAGACTGCAGCTCCCTGCCAGCCCAGCCAATGGCTGGGGATCATGGATACTGTATTCCAGACAAATCCAGGAAACACTGCCTGGCTTGCCCTGCTCTGCTCTTTCCTCTAACCCAAGCAAAGGAACAACCTGCCCACTAGCACTCCTTCTCCGTTAGAAACCCTCATCCAAATTGTGAGGATTCACCTGAGAGCACACCTTTCCTCTGCTGGATGCTGACCAAGAAACGCCCAGCCATCAAAGCTCACGACCCATTTGCCACAGCCCAACCACAGAGCACAGGTCTCACATGCAGAAAGTTCCAGGCCTGAGCCCGGCTCTGCCAGGCTGGGCTTGGACAAAAACCCTGCCCGAACAGCAAGGGAAAGCCGCTGCCATTCAGAGCGGCAACACCGGGCGAGCTTGTCTGACTCACTGTCTGGCTGGTGAAGCGTGAGAGTCGCTCTGTGGCTGGAACTTTCCTGTGACGACGGTGCTCCACACGCCGCGTCTTCTCCACATGTGCGCAGGCGATTGACGGAGGGTCTGCGCTTAGGGGAAAGCCATGTCACTTCTGCACCGCCGTCCTTGCCTTCCGGGGTGCAGAGAAAGCAGCTGCAGGCTCTGAGGATGCTTCTGCTTTTGGGGTTCCAGAGCAGCATCTCATGCCGGCAGCCTTTGTTACAAGGGGCCCCCAGTCAACAACGAGGTCTTGTAGAAGGCTCCCAGAGCATGTGCAGAGTGCAATGCCTCACTGCTGTCATCCGATCATTCCCATCTTGCATCTTCCTTGGATTTTGCTAGCCTCTTTACTCAGACCACAGGCAGGACTGGCCCTAGTTTGAAACGGGCCAGGTGAACCTGAACCCCACGTTGGCTGCCTAGCCATGTACATGCGTGTGTGTGTGTTGTTTAAACCCATGTTGTTTAAAAGCTCGAGGTAAAAATAAAAACATGTGCTCTGTTAATTTTAACCTCCCAAATGTATTATGCTCACAAAACCCATGCCAGGATTTTGCACTTGCTTTGTAATGCTTACAAAACAGAAGCATGCCTGAGTTTTATACCACCTATAAGCGTCTCCTTCCATATGTGCCTGCCTGCCCCTTAGGATCTGGGGCAGACGCCCTTCTCAAGGTGCCCTTCCTGAAGGAGATTAGGAGGGTGACTACCCAGAGAAGGGCCTTCTCTGCAGTGGCACCCCAATCATGGAATTCACTCCCAGAGAAGTTCGCCTGGTGCCGTCACTTTATTCTTTTTGGTGCCTGGCCAAAACCTTTTTATTTTCGCCATGTTCTGAGATCCGACCGTTTTAAGTGGGGTTTTTATTATTGCAAAATTTTAGGACACTGTGTTTTAATTAATTTTTCTTTCTTACATTTTATTGTTAAACCGCCCCGAGACTTCGATAATGGGACGGTCTGCAAAAGTTTTAAATAAATAAATAAATGGCACATCCAGTCGGGGTTCCAAGTTCCCACACACGCCCCTCCCCACAAATCGCAACCTTTTCTTTTGCTCTCAAAACTATGCCACTGGTTTGCACTTCTCTGTTAGTGTTTTGCACCAGCAGGCACGAGTGTGTGACTGATCTACTCAGTGTGAGCATCCTAAACACGACACTCTGATTTCCATCCAAATCCCGTGCCTTGACCTACTTGCTTTTGCAACGAGCGTTTGGGGTTTTTTGAACTGCTTCTCCAAATCATGAAAGGTTCTGTGGCCAGGCCGGTCATGTTTAATACGCATTAAACGGGAGTGGAGGTGTTGTCTTTATCATCTTTGCCGTGGGATGCAAAATGTAATGTCTCGGGCCAGCCCTGACCTCAGAAAGTCTGACTTTTTAATAAAAACTTGATCTCCTGTGTAGGATGGCTTTAGTTCTACTCTTTTGTGAAAGGGCAGCAGTTGAACAAGGGCTGTGATGCATCACAAAAGGCAAACTACTGCAAATCAACACACCTTCATTGTAACTTGTGAGGTGGGTGCCTGCTTAACATCCTATTTTCTCTTTTCGGGGTTGTTTAAAAAGTGATCTTTTAAAGGCTGCTGAAACGTTTTCTGGTAAGATTTCTTTTTTCTTTTCCTTTGTAATGAAGGAAAGCTTTAGCCCTATTAGAATCAGGATGTTCTGATACTGATTTAAAATGCCTCCCATCCCATAATATTGATCTAAAATGGGTACTATGCCAGGGGAGATGAATCTTAAAACTAACTCGTGGGTGGGAAACATGGGCTCTGCAGATGTTTTGGCCTACAAGTCCCATCAATCCTTCCCAGGACAGTCAGTGCTGATGGCTGATGGGGGTTGCAGGCCAAAAGGTTTAGATGTCCACATTTATGGGGATACGGATGGGATCCCCGATTGTGGTTTTCCCATGTTCCTGTATGAATGAATGCTGGACTGGATGGATTTTGGCCTCATCCAGCAGGGCTCTTCCACTCTTAAGCTTTGCAAATCTGGTCGCATTCAACCAATGGCAAGACACTGCTGGTTGGGGAGCGGAGCAGACTTTTCATTCATGAAAAAGTAAGAAGTACTTTAAGAAGTACAGAGTTATCAATGGATTTACAGCTGTGTGTAACCATTACCCGATTCGCTTTTGGCCACCGTTAGTTCTGATCTGTTTCGTACAGGCCAAAAACAAAACAAATCAAACAAACAAACAAACAAAGCAGCAATTTCAACCCTGCTGAAGTGACTGGGGCGATTTTATCAAACCAAATTGCCTTACAGGCACAGTGACTCTGGTTGTGATCTGTACCACTTTGGATAAAGGAGGTACAAATACTGACTCTGGACTCGGAAAGAATTAACAGAGGGAGTCCGTCAGCAGCTATTAACTTCAACAGCTAAATGGGACTTTCAAGTTCAGAGATAGTTTCCCAGTTTTGATGGCATGATGGAGAGAAATGTTGCTTCCGTGACTTGTGGGTGGGCCACACATGCAGACATTGGGCTTTATTGTTTAAATATTTGCTTGCTTGCTTGTTTGCTTACATAATTAATTTCTGTACCACCCAATAGCCGAGTTGTTGTAAACTACAACAGCCTGTTAAAAATGCAATACAAAATGCACCATATTGAAACATTGTAAAAAAAAAAAAAAGGCTAACCGCTTTTTAAAATTTCAAACCAAATTTAAAACAGATCCAAAAAAAAAAAAAAATTACAGTCACTGGAAGAAAGTCTTAGGACCTTTTTTAGCAATTAGCAAGTAAAGCAATTGAATATCCTGCA